GACCCGTCCTGCCGTTTTGGACACAGCCACTGTGGTCACTTTCCATGTAGCATCAATTATGCTAATGCTAGCTGCCTGTCACGTTCTCTCGTCCTGGCCACACCTCCGCTCTCTAACCCCCCCTCCCCCACCCACACCCCCTCCCCTACCCACTTTGATGCATTTTTCAAATTTCGCCTTGGGGCGGAGTTATCTTTTCACAGGGGGGTTAAGATACACTTTAAGCAACTTCATTTTGATCAAATAGAGTTTGATTGTGACCAGACTTATGAGCTAATGGCTAGTCTAAATGGCTTTCTATATTTGAAGAAGATGTAAGACACTTGATTTCACCAATGATCTTTTTCTTACTGACTATTCCTTAGAGTTGGGCATTAAATCAATAACAATATCATTATTGTGATTATGGCATTTTGGGGGATGTAGGCAGAGGAAATGCATTAATTGTTTGACCTTTCACGTTCCAGCTAAGCTAGGTTGGTGGCATCAACTAAMTCACTCACTCTTTTAGCAACATCCCGTTGAGTAACATGTGCAGCAGCACTTTCTTGTTTATCCCCATGTTTCAAAACCGCTTCAAAAGAAAAAAAAACGACGTGGAGTGAAAGGAGAAAATGATGCAGCAGCTCGAGAGGAAATTGTGGATAAAAGAGGAAAGGTTACCAGTTTGGCAGCATTAATCCACCTTTTATCTCCTGGTCCTTATTTCAAACGGGTAAAACAAAAACTAATGAATAATTATCAATATCGACTGATATGAAACTYTTATATTGTCCATATTGCCCGTAGCTAACATTCATAATTGAAGTCTAGCTGTGGGGGAGAAGTCCTGCTAAAGCCCTCCCACTGCAGCACATCAAGCACAAACAGAATCAACACAAGCAGCGTGTTTGGCAGAGTGGATTTTTATTTTGAGATGATGTTGAAGGTGGAAAACCGGGTGTTTCTGTCATTAACCAAGGAGCTATTTTGTAAATTGTCAGAGATTAGCTGAATGCAGCCACTTTACATAAACAAACACGCCCACAAAGTTTTGACCAATCAGACAATGTCTATGTATGAAACTAATGCCAGATCAATGTGTATATTTAAGAAAATGATAAAGCTAAATTTGTTGGAGAAATATGTATAGGTATAAGGCATGAATTGTTTCTCAAGAAGGAAGTAAACCTTTATTGTTTTTCTTTAATCTTTTTTGTACGTTGTAAATTGAAGATTTTTTTATTGACTTTATTTATTTGAGAAAAAGAGGCAGAAATAATAAGATTTTTTTCTTCTTCTGCAACCTTTCATTTAATTTATGATTTGTTTTTATTGTATGTTGAATCTATGTTGTTTTGTTTTAATTAAATAAACTTTATAAAAAAAACTGATTCTGATTAGGGACAATGCATAAAACATGGTCTCAGCAGCGGGGATATGCAATCCCGTCAGCAAGACACATTGTCTTTAATCTCATGAACTGTAAATGAGGCCAAGATCAACGCACTTTGCTGTCATCTTAAAATGACCCAAGTTTAAAAAAAAAAACATTTTTTTTTTCCATTTTCACCATACACCGTTATTCTGGCAGAAATATTTAGATATTCCTGCAGGAAATACCTCCAGGCTGCACAGGAAGTGCTACAGCTAGCTGCTACCACYGCTGTTTGTGCTTGCAAATAACCAGCTGACAGCTATGTGAAATAGCATTAGGCTGAGATCTGTTAAATTAAAAACAAGTTAATAATAATCCAATTTGCTTTTGGCTCCMCTCTGACTAGCTCTTAGCTCACAGTTCTTGACATATTTAAACTCCAATCCTCCAAACTGAAGTCGTTCATGAACTTATCTACAACAGGTGAGATGTTGATTGTTTTTAAAACCTTTCCACMGAACTCCACTATAAAAGGTCTGAACTGTCCCTTTAAGGAAATGCTGTAGAAATCCACTTTGTAAGACTTGGAAATACAAACACAGCATGTTTTTTATTAATTTATTTTTGTTTGTTTTTTCCGTCTGCTTTTTAAGCCGTAACAAACCGACGTATGTCTGTGGGAAAAATGRTTATTTTCAAACATCTGCTGACTGCAGCTGTTTGTCTATTTGTGGGTGCTGATAAGCAAAGGAAAAACACGGGTTTATCTCCAAATGAGTGATTCTGCAGTTAGTGGTGTTGGGTTTGTGCCATGTGGAAAAACAACCATCATTTGCTTCAAACTTCACTTCCTCATGTGGRTTGTTTCACTTCCTTCAATGTGATTTTCTCCCTTTTGTTTTCCAGCCTGCATTGGTCTGAACCCACCAGCTCACAGTTTTGCTCCGAGAAATGATGACTACAAGAATTTCACTCTCCAATTTCACAAGTTAGATGCTGATTTTTGCTGTTTAACAGTAAACATTACTTTTGTCTTTGAAGCTGTACCTGTGCAGCTCACATTCTCTGAATATTTTAGTGTTGTTTTCTGCCCACAGGCTGATCAACGTCACTGTTGACTTCCAGCTGAAGGCCATCAACATTCAGACCGTTATAAACAACGAAATCCCCGACTGCTACACCTTCGCTATCACTGTGAGCTGATTGTTGTGTGTTTTCTAGCATTTATTATTGTGTAAGGCCCATTTTTCATAAATGTACCATTTTTAGGGACCCGCTGTTCATCATGAGGCATAAGTTCAAATTCCATTTTTGATTTGCGAATTAAGTTTAGGATAATATTTGAGTTTAAGTTAGGTTTAGTGTAAAAGGTCAGGGTTAGGCCATCGAAATGAATGAAAAGGAATGGAAGTCACTGCAAAGTCTGTGCGATGATAGAAATATGTATGTGTGTGGACGTATTGAATAAACAATAACAACATAATAACCTTTAGAGTTAACCCAATTCAAGATTAAACACTACATGTTTAATTAAAAAGAGATTAAACGTTTCTCTGCAGTTTTCTTCATTAATGCTTGGTCAGAGTTCACTCTGTTGTTTTCCTRTTTTTTAGCTTCTACAGCTAGTATAAATGTAACCGTTCATATATGAAAACATTCAGCTCATTCAAATGACCACTATCATATTTTGAAATATTTAAGCTTTATCTCCAAAACAATTCCCTATTCAAAAATGAATGTTCAATTAGAAATCTGCTTTAGGGGCTACTAATAATCCTACTGTTAATTCTAGTTCATCTGTAATCTTTTTTGCTTTATGCTATTTTATCGCTACTTTCAGTTTTTAGCAAGAGTTTGTAACTGTTTTTTACTGTTGCTACTTTTTGCTTTTTAGGTAGCAATTTGCTTTTTTAATGTAGCAATTTAATTATTTTAGTGTTTGTCAACATTTAGCTACTTTTAGCTTGTGTTTTGCTATTTTTAGCAAGAAGCTAGAATTTGCCATTTTTAGCTAGCAAATTATTAGTTTTTGTTGCTAGCTTTTTATCTACTTTTATGTTATAGCTAGGTGTTTGCTACTTTTAGGCACACTGTATTTTCTATTTGTCTAGTTTGACCTGGTTCTGTTTGTGCGTTCAGATTGTCATGGACAACAAGGCGCATAGCGGCAAAGTTAAGATCAGTCTGCAGAATCAGGCCTCCATAAAAGAGTGTAAAGACCCCAACGTGTCGGGTCATGGTGAGTGTCTGTGGAATTATGGGAAATAGGACTGCACAATGTATTGCAAATATAGTGTCATTGCAATAGCTGTGTGCGCAGTATTCATATCACAAAGGACTGATTGGAGTGCAAAAACTGTTGATTAATGTATTTGAGGAGTTTTAAGTTATATTTTTCATGATAATGCAATATTTAGCCAGTAGGACAGAGTCTAACGACAGCAAAAGCTCACACCAGAYACAAATGACATAGCCAAAATGCTAAAGGTCACATAAAGCAGGAAGTACAGATTAAAAATGAAGGAAAGAAATAAAAAACATATATTACATCTGATAATGTCATCGCAAGATTTACAAATATTATCGCTGTCGCAAGATTTTGTAATATTGTGCAGTCCCTAATTGGAAATATTCTATCCCTTTTTTAACTTCCTGTGGTTTTTCTTCTGGATATTCTCTCCWGTCAGCTGAAAGTTACGCGCTGGAGTTCTTCGACGTGCTGGTGGCGTTCGTCTGCCTGCTGTCGTTGTTGCTCTGCGGCCGCTCCATCCTCAGAGGAATCCTTCTGCAGAACGTAAAGAAACAGGACAAACGTGTTGTCTGACAGCTCATATCATATCTCTTTGTGCTGATGACACAGTTGTTTATCATCACATTCTTTAGAATTTTTTTTCTCGAAACTTTGACTATTTGATATTATTCAGTCACATTTGGTCCTAAATGCTTAGAAAACTAAAAGTGTGTTCTCAGTACTGTATACTATGTGACTGATTATTTCTGCACTCCTCGATCAGGAATATGTGCAGTTTTTCTGTCACAAACTTGGCCGCAGTGTCAGCTGGGACGACAGGATGGAGTTCATTAACGGATGGTACATCCTRCTGATCATCAGCGACCTGTTCACCATCATCGGCAGCTTCATCAAGATTGGGATAGAATCCAAGGTAGCTTCTACTTCCAGTCTTTACATTTGGAGAAAGACTTGTTTTTTTTTTCTGCCACACTGCAAAACACTTGTGTGATTCATTACATCTCCCTTATAATGAAGACGTTGTCGTCCTATGACGTTTGTGGGATCCTGTTGGGAACTTCGACCCTGCTGGTGTGGGTGGGAGTCATCCGCTACCTCAGTTTCTTTCAGAAATACAATGTAGGTAAAACTTTAACTCTCATTGTGAATATCATGTTAAAATTGACAGATGTTGATACTTCACTGAAGCTGTATTTCATTCAGTTTGTGAAAGCAAAACTTCTTTTGTAGTTGAAAAGGTCTTCAGCTACAGAAAAGAAGTTTAGGTTTTTTTAATCATGTCTTGAATGTCTGAGAATCTACACCCGTTCACAGAGTTTGTTTCTTTTTCTTTTTGCTACAGATTTTGATTGTGACTCTGAGAGCAGCTTTTCCTAATGTTATCCGATTCTGCTGCTGTGCGGCTGCTATTTATTTTGGTTACTGCTTCTGTGGATGGATTGTGCTTGGACCCTATCATACTAAGGTGCATACACTCTGCTGCAGCTTTACACAGAAACAGGTTACTTAAAGGGGCAATATCATGTAAAATCAACTTTTTTAGTTTTATATCATGTTATAATGTTATACTCTCATAAAAAAACATGCCCAA